TCAGTGGAGACTGAACAGAAGTAAAAGTGTTGAGATTTCAGAATTGCGGGAACAAGATCGAAGATGTTTTAGTGAGACGAAATATTGAAGAAGCATTAATTGATGACGTGGCTCATGTGATATACTTGTGGAGATATGGTTAGTTGTTGTAGAGGATTCGTGCAACCGAAGATCTACAAGATTTGGAAGATATGGTTAAACCAAGAAAAAGGAAAACCGATATCATCGAATAAGGCAAACCTAGAAGATCTCTTAACCCACGAATATAAAAGGGATTGAGGAGATGCTTCTGAGGTTTAGCCGTTTGTGAGAGAAGAATTCGTTCATAGGTTCTTCTATTTTAGAGAGTAAGAGTTTACTCTTGACGGTGAGAAAAGGAGAGAAATAACGTAGAAAACAAGTCGTGTATTGTCTCTTCTTTTGTTTAGGTTAGAAATCGTTTTGGCCTCAAGCTAAGAGTGTGTTCTTAGGCTGTGAGTAACTCCAATTAAGAGTGTGTAATCATCTTAAAGATTTCTAATACAAGTTGATACTCGGTGCGCCAAGTTTTGGGGAATTCTTGTGTTTTCGTGTCCATCTCGTTTTTTCATCAACAACCTACTACTGCCAGCCAAAACCCTTCTCAACCCACCCAAAACCCTTCTCAACCCTGCCAAAACCCTTCTTTTAGCCAACATGGTCCAACTCAGTCTCAAGCCACCCCAAATGCCAATAGGGAGAGAAGGCAATGGACCAACTTAGATGATCTAGTGTTGATAAGCGGCTGGTTAAATACATCCAAGGATGTGATTGTGGGTAATGACCAAAGGTCAGGCACCTTCTGGAAGAGGATTTCTGACTACTATTCAGCATCTGAACATGTATTGAATGGTGCTGGATGGCTGGCAAATACGGTAGTAGTCAAGAAGAAGAATGGGAAATCCAGAGTATGTGTGGACTTTACGGACCTTAACAAAGCATGCCCGAAGGATAGCTTCCCTCTCCCTCATATTGATAGGTTGGTGGAGTCAACCTCGGGGCATGAATTGTTAACTTTCATGGACGCATTCTCCGGATATAATCAAATATTGATGCACCCAGAAAATCAGGAGAAGACAACATTTATAACAGATCAGGGAACGTATTTTTACAAGGTAATGCCCTTCGGACGGAAGAACGCATGCGTGACGTACCAACGCCCGGTGAACAGAATGTTCTCCGATCTTCTAGGAAAAACGATGGAAGTCTACATTGATGACATCCTGGTAAAATCCTTGGATTCCAGTTCGCATGTCGAGCACCTCCGAGATTGTTTCGCAATCCTTAATAAATTCGGGATGAAGCTGAATCCGTCAAAATGTACCTTTGCGGTACCATCCGGGGAATTCTTGGGATATATAGTCACAGAAAGAGGGCTAAAGGCTAACCCCAGACAAATAAAGGTTTTTTTGTCTATGAGTTCGCCGAGTAACGTAAGGGAGGTGCAGCGTCTAAATGGAAGAATTCTTGCGCTTAATAGATTCATCTCCCGGTCGACGGAAAAGTGCCTGCCATTCTTCCAGCTCCTGAAGAAAGGAAGCAAGAACTTCGCATGGACTGAGGAATGCAAGCTCGCCTTCGGGTTGTTGAAGCAGTACCTTGCCAACCCTCCTGTGTTGGCTAAACCAGAGCTGGGGGAGCCACTTTTCCTTTACGTAGCATTCTCGAACTACGCTGTCACTGGAGTGTTAGTTCGGGAAGAAAGAGGGGAGCAAAGGCCCGTTTATTATATTAGTAAAACATTCATATGAGCTGAAGCTAGTTACCCCATGCTGAAAAAATTGGCACTTGCCGTGATAACGTCGGCTAGGAAACTAAGACCATATTTCCAGTCCTACACAGTGGTGGTCCTTACGTCTCAGCCACTCCGCACCATACTTCATAGCCCGAGTCAGTCCGGAAGAATGGCTAAGTGGGCGATCGAGCTTAGTGAGTATGATTTGGAGTTCCGAGCTCGAACGTCGGCGAAGTCCCAGGTATTGGCAGATTTCCTAATAGAGCTACCGTTGGCAGATCTTCAGAAGGGAAACAATGCGAACACACCCTGGGTACTGCACGTCGATGGGGCCTCGTCCAAACATGGAAGTGGGATAGGAATTCGATTACGGTCACCCACGAATGAGGTGTTCGAACAGTAGTTCCGGCTTGCTTTTGATGCCTCTAATAACAAAGCGGAGTATGAATCTCTGATGGCTGGACTTCGCCTAGCTTTAGGGATTAGTGTACAGCGGCTGCACGCATTCTGCGACTCCCAGTTGGTCGTCAGCCAGTTATCAGGGGAGTATAAGGCGAAAGACGAGCGTATGGGGGCTTACCTAACTCTGGTCCAGGAGTTGGTTTCTAAGTTCATTCATTTCGAGCTGAATAAGATTCCTAGAGCCGAGAACTCAGCCGCGGATTCTTTGGTGTCTCTGGCGTCAACGTCGGATCCAACTACGACCAGAGTCATCCCAGTAGCAATACTCGAGCATTCGAGTATTCATTCTGAGAAGATCGAAGTGAATGTGCTCACAAGATCCATGCAGCGTCGTCTAGATCGAGGGGAACCTTTACTCGAACTTCCGGTAGTCAAGCGAGCTAAAAGATCTCGCGCCCGAAGCCTGGAAGCGGAAGCTCCTCGCATGCAAGATGGGTGCGATCCCGGGGCCAACGCCGGAGGCATAAGCCCTCAACGTGAAGTGGATTCCGAAGTGGTCCCCAAGCTTGGGGGTGAGGGGGATATGAATGAGGAATTCTCACCCCAAATCCTGGATTTGAGAACTCCTATTCTAGATTATTTACGTAAGAATGAACTGCCCAATAACAAGTGGCAAGCTAGAAAGATTAAAGTTGTTAGCGCGAGGTTCTGCCAGCATAACAGTGGCCTGCTTCGGAGAAGTATTGGGGGGCCTTACTTGACATGTGTGGCTGGCGATGATCCTGGTATTTTGCTAAGAACGGTTCACGACGGACCAAATGGTAACCATTCTGGGGCAAGGACATTGGCCTTTAAGATTAAGCGGCAAGGATTCTTTTGGCCTACAATGCTGGCAAACTGCGAGACATTCGTTAGAAATGTGACAAATGCCAGAGGCATGCTCCTACATTTCACCAGCCTTCCGAGCTGTTGTCCTCTATCTCTTCTATATACCCGTTTATGAGGTGGTCTATGGATATCGTGGGCCCACTCCATACTTCAACTAGGGGAGTGAGATTCCTGTTGGTACTTAAAGATTACTTCTCCAAATGGGTGGAGGAAGCAGCGTACTCCACCATCGGTGGGGGCCAAGTCAAACAGTTTGTGTGGAAAAAGATTGTTTGTCGGCACGGATTTTCTTACGAAATCATAACTGACAACGGGTCGCAATTCATATCCCAGCAGTTCGAGGTATTCTGTGCGCAGCTGAAAATAAAACTTAGCAAGTCTACTCTGTGGTATCCGCAGGGGAACGGGCAATGAATAAAGTAATCTTATCTAACTTAAAGAAACGCCTCGATGCACATAAAGGTCGGTGGGCGGAGGAGCTACAAGGGGTTTTATGGGCAATCCGAACAACCCCTCGGCGATCAACTAAAGAGTCACCGTACTCACTTGTATATGGAGTAGAAGCAGTTATCCCAGTCGAACTAGAAGTACCCGGGTTCGGGTGTTGCTAAACCTTGGGATGAGTCTGGAGAACGACGAATTTCTAAAGAACTCCCTGGATACTATTAACGAGAGGTGAGATCAAGCCATGATCCGCTTATAGCACTATCGAGACGCCACCAGGTCGGCGACTTGGTTCTCTAGAAGGTTTACGAGAACACAAAGGAGCTAAACGCCGGAAAACTGGGTGTTAATTGGGAAGGGCCTTACAAGATAACATCTGAAGTGCGAAACGAAGTTTACCGCCTAGAGGACCTAACGGGAAGACCAGTTCCTAGGTCCTGGAACGCGATGCACTTAAAGTTATATTTTACTTAAAAAACCATGCTCTTTGTAATCGAACTACGGTCGGCTTGATCCCAATCTGTTTGGGTACGTAGGCAGCCTATTCAAAATACGTCCAGCTCGTATTTAAAATAAAAATTAAGATGTCAGTTCGATTTCTCGCATTCTACAGTTTAAACAATCTAGTGCAAGATCGCAAAAGTACGAGCTAATACGAGCATAAGAATACTTAGTAGAGTATACTAATAAAAAACGGAATGAAATTGAGCGAAGCAAAGCAAATGGGTGAGACCACCGAGGTCAAAAAGCACGCTAAGCATAGCAAAAACATAAGAAACAATCGAAGAAATAGTCTTTAAAGATAAGCAACAAACGGGTGGTCAAAGACCAAACAACCCCGATCAGTTCAACTCGCCGGCTTCCGAGCTCGGAGGAGGGTCATCAGCGACAGTCGCTTCGGGGGCCTTTGGATCAGCGCCTTTGAGAGAGGGTAGAGCTGGCATCCCTTCGGTTGCACCGGGCCATACGCGCTCGATGTCCTGAGTCGAGACATTGGCAGGATTAGTCTCCCACTCATCTATCAGAAGGGGGGCAGATGCCGAACCCAGCTCGAGCTCGGGGGGAGTATCTGCCCTGTATTTATCAAAATCCCTAGGATTGAATTTAGTTTACAGTACCTCTTTTGCAGTCTGGAGGGCTTCGATTTCGTCCCTTTTAAGAGTTTCAAGCTCGAACTGCAGGTCGACAATCTCCCGAGACTCTATCTCCTCCACAAGCATCCGGTTGGCTATAATTTCAGCAGATCGAATTGTGGCGGGAACTAAGCGGTTGTGGTCGCTGAGAAAGACGTGCACGCCCACTGCTGCCTGCCGAAGTTGTGTCGGGTCTCCCTCCGCTCCTCTCGGCGAGCTCTCGCTATTTCAGCATGGAACCGAACTTCCATCGCATGGTTACTAAGCCGCAGTTCTTCAACCTCCCTTTTAGCAAGGTTCTCTGCCTCAATAGCCTAGAGGTACAGTTCCCCGGCTTTTTGCTGTTTGCATCCAGCATCTTCGAGGGAGGCTTCTGCTATTCATTGCTCGGACTCCACTAGCTTCAGGCGGGAGTTGGACTTCTTAGCTCTTTCAACCTCAAGGTGGTTCGCCGCTTCGGCAGCAGTGAGGCGTTTAACCCGCTTCTCTAGTTCAGAAATAGGGGAACGAAGTTTCTTGACATCCCTGGCATCAGGGTTGGAAAGCAACTGGTGCTCGTAGCTCGCGACCGCACTGTTGAACTCAATCAGGGTCTGCGTGGAAATAGAAATTTAGTCAAAAGGTTGAAAAAGCTCGGAATCCTTGGACTTGGTTAGGAGCGGTCATTACCTCCCTAACCTTCTCCGCAAAATGGAAGTAATTCTCCCAGTTGACTTTGACCATGTCCTGGAAGAAGGGCACCCGAGCTCCAGGTCGGCTGAAACTACGCATCATGTCTGCAAGCGACTTCAGAGGAGTTGGTAAAAGTAGTTGTAAGCAACATTGGGAGTAGAGAGAGCTAAAGCGTGGCGGCGAGAGCAAATACCTGGTAACTCGCGCCGAGGTTCGCCTTTCTGGCCAGCAGCGGGGGGAAGGGGAGTAGTCCCCTTCGAACTGGCTTCAGCTCGTTTCGCGGCCGAGCTAGTTTCAGGTCGCTTCGCCGAATCACTCGTGCGGGGGCAAGAAGTCTCCTGAGATACCGGAGTTGAGTCCGGGGCCTTCCTTTTCTTGGAAGCCTCGCTCGCTTCTTTTCCCTCTTGGGTGCTTGCATGAGTGGGGGGCTCGGAGATGGCATCCCCCGAAGCAGACGTAGAATCAAGCGCAGCCACCAATAGGTGACCCCGAGGTTCAGGTGGAGCAGTTGAGCAGGGGCTCTCCTCCTTCGCAAGAGTCTTAGACTTTCCCTCAGCAAGAGCAGCAGCCATCTGTTTCTTCAGCTCCCTCTCTCGGATCTCCGCCTGCTTCTTGTAGGCTCTTTCCTCTCGATAGTTCATGTTTCGGGGGCGTACGGGCTGCGGAGAGCTGGTGACGAGAGAGCTGGTGGGATTGCGGGCTCCGGACTCCTGAATTCTGTGGGAGGGGAAGGAGTCCCAAGCAGTCTGACCACCGCAGAAGCTTAGAAAGCAGTCAGCAAAGGTGCAGGATAGGGAGCCTCGCTCTAGGTTAGCTGGGAACACAAAAAGTAAAGATTAGAATCTGAATAAATACGCAAAGTAAAAAAGAAAGTAAGGCAGTTCGGTGCCCCTCCGAAGTTTTACCAATTTTCAGGGACCACTTTGGAATAAATAAGTCCGCCAGTTCTCCGAATGTGAAGCTGTCAACAGGGAAGTAGAAGTAACCACTCCGCCAGTTATCATCCTTCTCGGGTAAGTCGTCTAGAACCCGGAACCCGGCCAGTGGACTGAGGTAGAAGGTCCCTTTAGTTCTCCCTCCTTTAATGGTGTACAAATGGAGGACGTCTTGGAAAGTCAGGAGGTACACGTGCTCTTCCGCTAAAGTCTGAAGGCATAGGATGGTACGGATGAAGTTCGGGCATAACTGCGGAAGTGATACGCCCAAGACATACATTGCGTTTACTAGAAGCTCCGGCAGCGGCAAGTAAAGCCCGCAGTTGGAGAACATGACCTCGTAGGCACAACAGTACCCTTCCATAGGATCCTCTGGTGACTGTTCGCCGCAAAGGAAGTGGACGCCTATAAGGTCATCCTCCATGATCATGGACGGCGGGTGGGGACCAAACTTCCCTGGAATAGTGTCCTCGATTGGCTGGCTCGTCTGCTTGCGAGGAGACATCTTGCGCAGTAAAGTTCGTCGGCGAAGGATCGAAGGTTGACAAGTAGTGGTTCCGGCGAGTTAAGTAATCGGAGGAGATGTAAATCACGACGGAAACAAAGAACAAAGTCTGAAAGGAAGTGAAAAGAGAAGAAACTCGGGTAAAGGAATGTATGTACCTTTTATAGCCGATTCGTCCTTTGAGAGTAATGATGGCCTAGGGAAGCTAAAAGGTCGAGACGCGGTAAACCGAAAAGGCAACCGCGAATCGAGGCAAATCAATCATGGCGATACGGGGATCTTGGTTCCCAAAAACGTGTCTTCCACACTATAACCATTTCGAAAGACTTGGGGTGTAAACTGTGGGCACCAGAATTGGCACCTCGCAGCCAGTAGGGCTCTTTATGGCCCAGGCCCAGTAGAAATGAATCACGAATAAACCAAAGGGCCCGCCTACGGTTGAGCTGGGAACTGGCGGGTAGAAGTTAAGGCGAGATCGTAACGAACGAACTAATGAGTCAACGGAGCTGTAAGATCGCGGGATATCCGGACAGGAGATCACGCCCAGTTTGATTATCTTAGGACCTAAATATAAAGGGAATGAGGGATGATATGTAAGGGGTCAAGAAAAAGGATATACAAAAAATCAATAAAAGCTAAAGTTTTCACTCTTACATTCGTATTTCCAAAGCTATTTCCAGTTCGAGTTCGGGCAATATTATTCAGTTCCCCACTTAGTACGTTCTAGAACCTCATGTGGAATTAGCTCCCACAAAATGGTGCAGTCTTTCAGCAATGAATCCTACTAGCAACACTTCAAGCAAGAAAAGGAAATCTCAGGATGCTCAACCATCTTCTGGTTCTGTTGTTAATGAACAAGAGAGCAGGCCTGAAGGTGTTAAGGCAATGAAAGCAAGAAGGTATAGGGGAAAAGAGAAGGCTGGAGCTTCTTGTGAGTATCCAACCCTGTGGGAGAATAAACAGAAGATGTCGATACTTGACACTCTCTTAGCCAAGAACCAACCACTGTGGGAGAATAAACAGAAGGACAATGAGGCAAAGAAGGAACTTCAAAAGATGTCGATACTTGACACTCTCTTAGCCAAGAACCAACCACTTGATGAAGATGTAAAAGCTCTTAATAAAAAGCTCATGGCTGAACTATTCTAAGTATTAACTAAGTATTAACTGTCTAAGTAGCTAAGTTGTTTGAAATATGGTAATGTAAGAGTTGTATGAAAGATCAAAATATCTAAATTGTTTAAATTGGGAAATGTTTGAGTTTTATGTATTATCTAAATGTCTGACTTGTTGTTTGTAATATGGAAATGTCGAGTTCTTTGTAATATGATTGTATCTGATGTTTGAAATATATTAATGTAATATTTGTTTGAATCCAAATTAGATCCGAGTTGGTGCTAAGTTGTCTAACTACTTCACATTACTTGTGTATCATTTCTGTCTACTTCATATATTCTCATTCATACTTGTGTATCATTTCTGTCTAGTTCACATTTTCTCATTCATACTTGTGTATCATTTCTGTGTAGTTCATATCTTCTCATTGATACTTGTGTATCATTTCTGTGTAGTTCATATCTTCTCATTCATACTTGTGTATCATTTTTGTGTAGTTCATATCTTCTCATTCATACTTGTGTATCATTTCTGTGTAGTTCATATCTTCTCATTCATACTTGTGTATCATTTCTGTGTAGTTCATATCTTCTCATTCATACTTGTGTATTAGTTCTGTGTAGTTCATATATTCTCATTCATACTTGTGCATTTCTGTGTAGTTCATATCTTCTGATTCATACTTGTGTCTCATTTCTGTCTAGTTCATATCTTCTCATTCATAATGATTATGTATTGTGTGGAACTATCTTTCTGTTTGTTTGTTTTCAGGTGAAGCAATAAATGGGGCAAGATTATTCATACTCTTGGGATTCATCTTAAGATCAAAGTCACCACAACACAGAGGACACTACAGAAATGGAGACTGAAGCATACATCTTGATGGATGAAGCTCATAGTAGAAGTAACATTGTGGGCAGAACTGAACCAGAGATTGAGGTTGGCTTTCCTAACATCTGTTATTGTGGTGGGCAGCCTCTACTTCAGACCTCATACACCAGAAATGATCCGGGGAGAAAGTAAGTGGATGTGCCTAATTTATGATATGCATGTCCTCTTCCTTGTCAGCCATGTCAATAATTGTATGATATTGTTATTGTAGGTACTTCACTTGTGAGAATGTATCAGATGGAGATATGCATATCCATAAATGGTGGGATGTGGCAGTGATGGAAGAGATTAGAGAAAGGGCCAGAGTTTATGAAGTGGACCTTAAAGAGCACAGAGAACAAGAGAGTATAACTGAAGAGAAGATTGTTAAGCTTGAGAAGCTTGTAGCTGAGTTGCAGAAGAGTAAGCTTGATGAGGGATATGAGTTGCTTATTGGTGGTGGCACCATAACTGTATTCGTCTTGTTTCTGTCAATACTTCTGTATTGTAGGTCAGATTATGTTTGAGAAAATATCATGTAATAGAAATGGTTGGTTGGTTATTCGGATGAAACGGTTGGATATTTGTATATCACATGAGTTTGTTCTCATGTGTCACGAGAAGTGTATGATTGAAATGTTGTTTTGTGGTTCTATTGTTCTCCTCTTTTGTTGTTTTATATGTCACAAGACTTTGTTTAATATATCACATGAATTTGTTTTATATATCACAAAACTTCTATATAAAAGAAGGAAACCTATCCCCAACTCACAATCGCTTATCACATTCCTTTCCTTCATCAACATTGAAATATTTTCAGAACCTTTACTCCCAAACTTTTTTCTCTCTAATTAAACCATTTACCAACACATAAATCTCTTCCAAAACTCAACCAACCTTTTCTCTTATTTTCTCTAAAATTACATATTCCACAAACACAACCATCGTCTCTTATTTTCTCTAAATTAACATCTTCCACAAACACATAATGGCTTCCTCTTCCAACAATTTTCATTATCATTATAACTCAAATAATGATGATGATTTTGACAAATATTATCAAGACCTATTTGATAATCAAGTAGATGCAACATTAGAAGATATACCGCCGGAAAGAAAAAAACGTACATATATCAAAAGAAATCGGGAAGAAGGCCACGAACGTTTGTGGAATGATTATTTTAGTGATAATCCTACTTACCCGGAGAGGCTATTTCGAAGACGATTTCGAATGAATAAAGCATTGATCCTGCGTATTGTCAATCGCCTCTCTACAGAAGGTCCATATTTTCAACCGAAAAAGATGCAACATTCCGAAATGGTATATCACCGCTCCAACAATGTACTGCAGCAATTCGATTATTAGCATAGGGCAGTGTGACGGACACAGTTGACGAATATATACGTCTTGGTGAAACGACGGCTCGTAAGTGTTTGGAACATTTTGTTGTCAAAATTGTTGACTTGTTTGACGATGAATACCTAAGGCAGCCAACGGAAGAGGATCTCCAAAGGCTACTCTATTTTGGAGAACAACGGGGATTTCCAGGGATGGTTGGCAGCATCGATGTAACGCCCCGACCGCCATCTCTTCAGTGGGCCCCATGTTCACCACCAGCCCATGGGCCCACCTCTCTTAATGGGCCTCACGTCCTCTCACTAGGCCCATGCGCCCACTAATACCCGACAGCCGGTTAGCTATGTCCGGAAGGCTTAAAGACTTGTTTACTGACCCTACAAATCACCACATGATCTTTCCCTGTGTTTTGGCCTCACACACACAGTTCCGACAACCACTTCCCGGAAGGTCACCCAACCTTTGACTACTCCAACATAAGCACGCTTAACTGTGGAGTTCTCTCAGGACCCTTGACCGAAAAGATAAGTGCACTTTTGTAACATAGGTGGCCAAATTAATTCATTTAAGCCTCTCCGCAACCGGGGTCTCACAATTCTCCCCCATTAACAGACTGCAACGTCCTCGTTGCGCACAACGATCGTCACCCCCTGACAGTGTAAGCCCACCACTCCACACTTGTCTGGGTTCGGCTCTGATACCACTTGTAACGACCCGACAGCCATCTCTCCAGTCGGCCCCATGTTCATCACCAGCCCATGGGCCCACGTCTCTTAATGGGCCTCACGTCCTCTCACTAGGCCCAGGAGCCCACTAATACCCGACAGCCGGTTAGCTACGTCCGGGAGGCTTAAAGACTTGTTTACCGACCCTACAAATCACCACATGATCTTTCCCTATGTTTGGGCCTCACTCACACAGTTCCGACAACCACTTCCCGGAAGGTCACCCATCCGTTGACTACTCCAGCATAAGCATGCTTAACTGTGGAGTTCTCCCAAGACCCTTGACCGAAAAGATAAGTGCACTTTGGTAACATAGGTGGCCAAACTAATTCATTTAAGCCTCTCCGCAACCGGGGTCTCACAATCAATTGCATGCATTGGGGGTGGAAAAAGTTTCCAACCGCATGGAAAGGTATGTATTCTCGAGGTACTGAAAAACCAACTATTGTTTTGGAGGCGGTTGCTTCACAAGATCTCTGGATATGGCACGCGTTTCTTGGGGCATCCGGTACTTGTAACGATTTAAATATTCTTGATCAATCACCCGTATTCAATGACATTATACAAGGTCAATCTCCCCAAACAAACTACTATGTCAACGGAAGGGAGTATAACATGGCTTACTATCTTACGGATGGTATTTACCCCGACTTGGCGACATTTATTCAATCCATCCGACTACCTCAAAGCCCAAAACATTCTTTGTTTGCAAAACGTCAAGAATCTGCACGGAAAGATGTTGAGCGTGCATTTGGAGTCCTCCAAGCAAGATTCGCCATTGTTAAGAATCCATGTCTTTTATGGGAAAAAGGCAAAATAGCATATATGAGAGCATGTCTCATACTCCATAATATGATTTTCGAAGATGAACGACATTCATACACTCTCTTTGACGAACAAGAATTTCAAGAAGGTGCTCCGGATCTTACGTTTTCAAATAATATGGCGACAAATCTCGACGGTATAGGTGATCGTCGCAGAAGAATACATGATAAACAAGCTCATCACCAATTGAAAGAGGATTTGATTGAGAACATATGGACTAAATTTGGCCATCTTCCAAATGATTAAAAGCTTTATAAACTTTGTATTAATTTCATAAAATGTTTTGTGCTTCAATTAATATGTTTCTATCTATTAATGTTTGTCATTTTAATGTTTATTATTTCTAATTTTGTGTTTCTCATTTTTATCATAATTGTTTTTTTTAAATAATAATTTTGATTTGAATTGTATTTTCTATATATTACAATTTTGAAATATGTTTTATGTTTATTTTTATAAGTTTTCAATTTATTATTAATTTATTTAATTTAAAATTTTAACAATATATATTAATATTATTATATTATTAAAACTTTAAGATACTAGAGATTTAACCAATAATCAACTCAAAATCAAAAGTTCTTAACTTACACTATTTAATTATTAATATACCTATTAATGTCTAAGATACATCCTCAAGAATACACCCTTAAAGATGCTCTTATAATGTTATACTCACTCTCTCTCTCCCCCACTTCGTCTTCTTCTTCTTCTTCCTCCTTTTCTCTTTCCATTGTTTGCAAAAGCTTCGTTGTTAACAAAGATTCAAATCAACTATTTTTATATTTTCCCTTAGATCAACTCGGAATAACCTTTGGACTGTAATTCAGTGGACAATCCCTTAGGGCATGAACATTGGTGTATACAATAATTTGGTTCCATTATTATTTTAATAGTATTTATGATGTAGGACAAATGTTTAATTTTGGTCCATGAGCATTGGTGTATATAAGTTTTTTTTCCCACAATTGTAATAAACATATTTTGAGTTTATTAAAATAAATAATTTTAATTAATAAGTAAAAACATATTAAATATGGATTAATATTAAACATTATAAAATTACAAAGTTACAAAAAGTATTAAGATGGAAAAACATACAATTAAGACATTATAAATATAAAACATAAAGCATACAAACATTAAACCAACATTTTATTGAATTCATAGAAATGTAAAACTTAATCTTCATTATCTTGTTGATGTCCAAAATTAGTCCAAATATGCTCTATCAAATCATGTTTTAATTGTTCATGACCTTGTTTATCCCGAACTCTTGTTCTACGAGTAATCATTGTGCCTATATTTGAACCCACACCGGCGGTACCAACGGTATATGTTTGATCGACATCTTCTCCGTGTTGAAATTCAGAAATCTTACGGACATTGTATGTATGTCGTTCATCTTCAACAATCATATTATGGATTATTATGCATGCTCTCATAACATTTGCCATTTTTTTATCCCATAAAGGAGAAGGATTTTTAATAACGGCAAACCTAGCTTGCAAGACTTCGAAGGCACGCTCCACATCTTTCCGCACAGCTTCTTGTTTTTTAGAAAAGAGTGAATTTTTCATACCTTGTGGGAGTCGGATAGATTGAATAAAAATGGGCCATTTTGGGTAAATACCATCAGTGAGAGAGTACGCCAAATTGTACTCCCTTCCGTTGACAAAGAAATTGACTTCCGGAGCTTGACCATTTATAATGTCATCAAAAAGATTAGAACGATCTAGAATATTAAGGTCGTTCATAGAACATGGAGCTCCAAAAAATGCATGTCAAATCCAAAGGTCATATGAAGCTACCGCTTCCAACACGATTGTAGGTTTTCCGGTTGATCGTGAATATATACCCTTCTAAGCTGTGGGACAATTCTTCCAGCCCCAATGCATACAGTCACTGCTCCCAATCATCCCAGAAAATCCACGTTGTTCATTTTGATGGAGTAGTCTTTGTAGGTCTTCTTGTGTGGGACGTCTTAAGTATTCATCGCCAAACAAAAAGATTATTGCAGCGGTAAACTCGTGCAAACATTTTCGAGCTGTTGAAGCACCAATTCGTATATACTTGTCCACCGTGTCACACGCACAACCATATGCCAATTGACGAATTGCTGCAGTACATTTTTGTATTGGTGAAAGGCTAGGCCGTCCTGCAGCATCTTTGGTTTGTTGGAAATATTGGACTTCGGTAGATAGACGGTGTACAAGACGCATGAACAATGACTTGTTCAATCGAAAACGTCGCCGGAATAAATTGTGCGGGTATGTTGGAGTTTCACTAAAATAATCATTTCAAAGATTATTGTGGCCTTCTTCACGGTTTCTTTGGATAAAAATGCATTTCTTTTGCTTGGTGTGTTCTTCCAAGAGGTTATAATTTTCTTAAAATTTTGGTAATACGCATCAAATGGATCATCCTCATCTCTTTGGTAGTGAAAATGATTTGAAGATGATGCAATGTTTTTGCAAGAAAATTGTGAGAAAGTTAAAGAGAAAATGTGAGAATGTGAGAAAGTGAGAAAGTGAGAAAGTGAGAAACTGAGATTAAAAATTTTAAACTCGAGGATGATCGTTGAGAAATTGAAAGTGTGATAGAAAGAGAGAAAAAGTGAGAAACGAATGTGAGATAGACAAATTGAGAAAGTGTGATAGGAAG